GGGGGAGCTTCCTTCCGGGTGCTGGGACCGGCTGAGCTTCACTGCCCTAGGAGCCTGGTCTGGAGGCGGGGGAGCTTCCTTCCGGATGCTGGGACCGGCTCACCTTCTTGGCCCTAGGAGCCTGGGATGGAGGCGGGGGAGCTTCCTTCCGGGTGCTGGGACTGGCTGAGCTTCACTGCCTCCTCAGCTCTTTAAGCACGTTGGATTGACTGCACTTAAGAAGGGTCTCAAAATTCCCTCACCAATGTTCTCTCTTCAGTATTGCTTTTGAGCACTGCGTTACTTACTGTTCACGGACGCCCCTGTTCTCCCCATCAAACCCAGGGACTTATATATGCTACACAAGCGCGCTAGCATGGGTTACATCCCCAGCCCGAGATTTGTTTTTCTTGCTGGAGACTTTTAGGTTTTCTGGGTTTTGCTTTTGTTTTTCAGGGTTATGAAATTTCACAGAGAATATTTGGAGCTTTTTCTTCTTTTCTGGCTACTTTCCTCCCCCTTTTTTTGGAACTCCTATTGTTTGGATTTGTGGCTCTTGAAAGAATCCTAATTTTATTGTGTTCTCTCCTGTTTTTTCCAGCAATTTTTTTCTCTCTACTTTCTGGGAGATTGTTTTGACTTTATTGAGGTCAAGTATTTGATTTGATTTTTCAAATTTTGACAGATTACTTTTAAATTTTAGTAATTCTTGTTTGATTTTTTTTTCTTACTGTGTGCCTGAAATGTCTTCCTTGTCTTCTTTTCAAATGGAAAAAAAGTTATATTATCGTTAAGCAGCAAAATCAATTTGTTGATTGAAGATGAATAAATAACTTTCAAGGTAAACATGAAGGAGTTTGACTAAAAGCTATCACAAAGCTCATAATAATAATCTGAGCTATTTCTGGCAGAAATGCCAGAAACTTAATTCATCCTTGGAGCACTGGTTCCATCCCAGGAGCACTGGTTCCCACCTCTAGCAAAGTAGAAGTTCCATAAAAGTGAAACCATTTCTAAAATATGACTTGCAATTTGATAATATCAATTTTTTTAAAGCATCTTAAGAATCAGAGACTTATTGGACTTTCTTTCTTTCTTTTTTTTTTTGGTACCGGGGATCGAACTCGGGACCTTGTGCTTGTGAGACAGGCAACGGAACGACTGAGCTAAATCCCTGGCCGTTATTGGACTTTCTGATAGCTATAGTGCAATATCTTTAAGTCTGTTGGATATATACAGGTGAGATATGTAGAGTGTGGGCCTGGAGACAGTTTCTGAGGCCCTGGTCCGTCCTTGGGCACATGAAACAATCCCTAATGAATCTTTCTCTGTATGGGTTGGAGGGTTTTCCTTGTCAGACTCTTTTCAGTCTCCTTCAGGGAGAGACTTTAGGAGGAGTGGCTCCATGGAGGCTTCCCATTTCCTGGTGGAACAGGCAATTGTACCATCATCTCTCTCCATTTATTGTGTTGGAGTTTTCTGGCGGTATAGTTAACACCTCACTGATGCCCTCTGAATCCTAACTGGGATTTCTGTGCCGTCCTTTGGCTTCTGTTTCTTTCTTGGTGCCAGGCCTGGCGCCTTTGTCCATCTCATCAACCTCTGCCTAGCAGCCTTGGCAGAGCCCTTTTCCATAGATCAGGCTGGAAGTGGGATGGTCTCTGCTCTCAAATGCTGTCCTAACTCTCAGGCTGCAGCCTCATCAGTACATTTGATGATGAATGGATATTTTATGTTAGGCGGAGGTGTGCAGGGGAGGTGCTTACTTTGCTTTGGCTCTTCTCACATACCTCATAACCATCCTCTGCCATTTACCCATGAGTCAGAGGGTTTAGCTTTTACAGCCTCTCATTGGAGCAGCTTACTGAAGACTGAAATAATAGCTCCACATTCTTTTCAAGTGTCTGCTAGAGTTTCATTTTCTGTGATATGTGCTCAGATCCAGGAAGGCAGACTGTATAGTTTAATCAGCTGGTTTTGTCTCTTATCTCTTACTGCATTCTCTTAGGCCAGCTTCCTCTGTAGAGGAAGGAAAAGGCATGTGTGTTGCTCAGATATGCATTTCAGAACTTGCTACAGACAGGAAGAGACTGAAATGTGATTTCTTTGATTTCATGTTCAGAAATCCTAACGCTCTGACTATCTCATGTTGGATCAGGTGCTCATTCATTCACCGCTACCAACCTTTGAGTATTTATATGAGTCAAAGATCACTAAGTTTTTTAGATATTTTATCTTACTGAAATCTGAACATGACAATAGCAGGTAGGCATAGATGAGAAACTGCATATTGCCCTTCCTGAAAACTAATACACACTAGAGTAAAGATTTTTTTTTTTTTTTTTTTTTTTGTACCGGGGATCGAATTGAGTAAGGATTTAAAAGCAGGCATTTGACTTTGGTTCTGTAAGTCACTGCCTTATATGTGATGTATAACTCACTGATACTAAAGAAAATGGGCCTGATGTAATAATAACTCTAGGACTCCCAGGGGCTGTAGCCTGCCGGTTGGAAATCACTAATTTGAAGGTTTAGAATAGGCTACGTCTTACAGAAGTAAGTTGAGTGGGTAAGTTTGAATTTGTTATGTGTGAAATAGTGAGAAAACATTACTCCCACCCCACCCTGGAATAGATTTCCTTTTGATCTGTCCCCTCTAGGGAGGCTTGGGAGCAGGTGTTCTTAGGAGGTTGCAAATGAGGATGCTGTGTTTGTGTACAATAATAGGTTGTGGTGCTCTCTAGACCTCACCTGGAAAATCAGACTTGGTTTTCTCTGGTTCCTTCTGGTTGATTGCTTTTAAGTACTTCTGGAGATTGTATCTTACCATCTCCTCACAGAGACATTTCATACTAGAGGTAAAGCAAAAGGAAATATTTTGGTTGTAACTTTCTTCTCTCCCTCCAAGATTATCCTGAAGGCAATAATTCAAGTGATTATCCTGTCCAAACAACAACGTATCTTCCAGAAAACTTCACATATTCACCATACCTCCCCTGCCCAGAAAAACTGCCTTACATGCGTAAGTAGAAACTAATTTTGACTGAACTATTGTATTGTAATAAAAGAATAAAAACTACATTGTTTGAACACATTGGGATCAGATCATTACTGGCCGTGCTAATGTTCATATTATATAGCATGTTATTTTATTTTAAAAAATTTGTGGGGGGGTATAAAGAACTTTTTTGGAAGGAGATGAGGAAAAAACTGAGGAAAGACACAAGAAAAAATGACAAATATTCATGTTTCCCACCCAGATTTAAAAACAAATACTTTGGCTTACTTTTAAATTCTTCTAGAACTACTTTTAAGAGTAATTAATGTTTTATATCCTTTTGGATATTAGAACATTACAAGTAAAACTAAGGTCCTTTTTGACCACTGCCTACAATGTAGTTTCCTATCCTTTTTTTTCCAGAAATAATCTGACCTCTATTGCCAGTGTATTAATATAGGTTATTTTAAAATTATTTTTACATAGATAGATGCTGGGTATATAGAAAATGTTTAGTTTCAGAGGTTTTAAGAATTTCTATAAATGGTCTTATAAATTACATTTCATTGTGACTTGATTTAGTTACTTTTTTTGAGAACTACCTGTGTTGTAACATATAATTTATTTCCCATAACTGTTGTAGAATATGTCTCTGTATAAATTTCATTTACCCTTTCCCCAGCTGATGGACATTTAGGTTGTTGCCACTTTTTTGCTATTACTTTTTTTTTTTTTTTCTATTAAGAACAGTATCATATAGATTTTCCTGTGCATATGTGTGTGTGTACTTTAGGGTTTATAGCTTGAGTTTGGAATTGCTGGATAGGCTGACTCAGTTTTTCTAGATTATCTCAAGTTGTTTTCCTAGTCAGCTATGCCAGTTTATATCCCCACAATATGCCACTTTGATATTGATGGACTTTTTGATTTTTGCTAATTTAACAAGATAACAAATGGTATCTCATTGTTCAGTTTTCACTTTCCTCATTACTAGTGGATTTGAGTAACTTTTCTTCTCTGTATTTTAAAATTTTCTCTCCTGCCACTTGCTTGGTCATGGGCTCTATGAGTTCCTTATTGGTTATTAGGTTTTGTATTGATCTGCAAGAATTCTTTCTCTTCCTGCAGTGATCCACTCTTTGCTAATATTTAAGTATATTTTCACAATCCTGGTCTTGGATTTCATTTTGTTTATGGAGTCTTTTATTTTAAAATTGTAAGATTACACTTTTTCAATAGTATCAGTCACTTTATTTAAGGCTTTTGCTTTTTTTGGTCTTAAGAAAGCTTTTCTTACCCCAATGGCATACAAGTACTTCTATTTCCTAGCAGTCTTTCTATTTTATTCTTAGCTTTTGCATATAATTTGTGGTAGTGACCCAGATACTATAACCATATATTTTTTCAGTCATAAAAATAATTATTTTTTAAACAACACCACTATACACCCAATATTTGGAAGCCACCATTGGGTATTGTTTTGGCTGGGTCCCTTACCGCACTATTTTTTTTTTTTTTTTTGATACTGGGGATTGAACTCAGGACCTTGAGCTTGCGAGGCAGGTGGTGGAACCACTGAGCTAAATCCCTGGCCCCTTATCCCCCGCTATTTTAAGTGGACTTTGTATACATAAAGTTTTAACTTGATTTTTATGTAAGGATTTGAACATCTTTTTGAATCATTTATCCCTTAATACCTAAGTGTACCTTTTATGTCTTTACATGAGTTTTCTTTATTGGAGAAGTTAGTCTAATTATAATTAGTTTAATTATAATTATAATTATTGTTAGTTTAATTATAATTAAAAAAAACACTTTTCTATATCACCCGAGGGTGTGGTTTTCATGCTAGAGGATGCATCATAATCCCATGGTGATCTTGTGGAACACAGTGCCACCCTACTGTCTGGGTTCCAGTTTCAGTGTATCTAAGGTGGCACTAAAAAGTTGTGTTCGGTGCTTTTCTTTGAGACTGGAGAGTAGTGGATCTCATCCTCAGCTGCATAGTAGAATTGCCCGGGGAGCTTTTGTCATCCTAGGGCCCAACCCCTAAGTTTCTGGTTTTATTGATTTAACCTGGGGCCTAAGTACTAGTATTAAAACAAATAAGCACATTTTCAAGTTTTTTTTATGGTCAAATGTTTGTCATAACTTTGTTATTGCAGCCTTGTTTTCCTAAAAATAAGTGTTTTTGTCTGTGCAATACTGAAACCAGTGGGTAATGTTCTGTTGAAATATTGATTATAGTAATTTCATTTTCATAATTTGTATATTCAAGGATTTATAGTTTCAGGAAATCTTTCTGTCCTTGAGTTAGTTAACATTTTCTTAATTAGTGCTTTATGAGTACTAATTAAACTATTTAGAAGTATTCGCCTGCCAGGCCCTCCCGCGGACATTCCCATCCTCTCATCCCTTAGCTTGTTGTAATTCCTGGCCTGGTGTTCGAGAGGTTGTGCTGCAGTGTGCCGTGGCTGACGTGGCTCTGGTGCCCACCTTTCTGTGGGGTCCTGGGATTACTCCTCCTTTCTTCTGCCTCTTTTAGAGCCTCGCATTCTTTTCAAAAGGAGGAGGATCTCACTAGTTTGGTAGCCACCTTTTCACAGCAGGCTTTTTCTAGCGTGGCCAGCTTCAGGCCCAGCACTAATGTCGAGTTAGCGGTGGCAGGGTGCTGAGGTTATTTGGCCATATGCAGGTAACACTTGAGAAGGACCCATGTGTACACATAACACAATGAGGCTTCTGCCAAGAGGGCCTTGAGTGAGCTGTGTACAAGAAGCCTCTTCACTGTCTGACAACATCTGTAAAGTAGAGCCTCGAATATTAGAAGGGATATCTGTAAGAATGAGTCAGATCAAAACCATTCAAGTTTGAGTGATGTTTAATTTACCTGTAATCACTAAAAGTGAAGTTAATATAAAGTTGTCTTTAATTATCTACCTGTAAATCCTTTTTGATGTTTCCCTACTGTAGTGATGGAATTATGAGCATTGGATTTCCCTAAAGTTTTTTTTTTTTGGTACCAGGGATCGAGTTCGGGTCCTTGCACTTGCACAGCAGGTGGTGAAACCACTGAGCTAAATCCCCGGCCTGATTTCCGTAAAGTTTGAGTTTTTCAAATTGGAATTCAGATAAAATGCATTTTATGGATTTCAGCAATGTTTGATAGTCAATAACACTATGAAATTATATTTTTATATATATTATGTATATGAAGAGTGTAAATGAATACTTCATTACTATTAGTATTCATCGGTTCTCCAGAGGGAAAATCCACTTTCACTTTTATTGAATTTATGTAAGATTCTTCATGCTAACCAATAAAATTTCACCTTATCTAGTGCAGAAAAATAAAAAGTGCTTAGCATGGATGTTTTGATTTTGATTTCCCTTTATGAAGTAGAGATGGAAAAATGACAGTTGTGTACTTTGCATTAAAATAGACTTACTTTAGTTTCTTATCCTTTAAATGTTATTCAAATAGAATGCATTTGCAGTGACTTTTAGATATCCTCTCCTTACTGTTGGTGGAATAACCCTTTGTGGTTTAACCCTAGCAGTTTCTGTAGTCAGTAACTATGAATGTAATAAACGCCTATAAGGGCTTTTTCCCTTGAGTTCAAGTCAAATGAATATCAGCAAAGAGGCAAAAGATAAGCAAATAAACTTAAGAAAAGCTCAAATAATGCTTAATCTAACATGCCTTCATTCATGTTTTCTATGAGAGATGGGAGCCATTTCAGAGTAAAGAAGTGATTGATGAACACAGCCTCCCAGCAGGATTGAGTGTTCATGGGGCAGGGAGAGAGGAACCGAGCTAAGTGGGACCCTTCAAGTACTGGCTGGGAGCAGGTATCATCCAGAGGAAGGCAGCTTGCTGCTGTGAAAGGTAGTGAATGAAGCAAAAGGAAGACAGTGGAGAGGATGATGTAAGAGTTGGGTCCTTAAGATGGTTTGGAGGCTGATCAAAACCATTCAAGTGGAGAGATCTGCTCCAGCCTGGTGGAGGTGACATGGACTGGGAGGTGAAGGCCTTGTGTGAGGGACCGTGGATCCCTAGGCATCTATGAAGTGGACTTTCGAGGGCACAGAGCCCCTTGTGTACAGGAGGCTGATTTAGCTACCTGGTTGCATTTCTCTGGTGACAGTGCATGATTTTCAGAGTCTAGGGGCAAAACAAATCTAAAACCCTGCCACAGGAGAACTGGTATTGTGCTTCAGAGAGATTATTCAGATGAGAAACTGAAAAGTGGCCGAGAATGGGAGATGGTGGAATCAGAGACACACCAGTGAGGAACTTACTGCAGGGACCCAGGAGGAAAGAACAAGGGCATGTGGCAAGGACATGGCACTGGAAAGAGGAGGAGGCACAGAAAACAAGCTATTGGGTGCCCTTGGCCAAATACCAGGATCTACCGAGGGGTAAGAGTTCATTTCCAGCTTTCTGCCTTGGCAACTGTTAACTGCAACAACAACACAGGATATGCATCACATTTTAAGACTGAGGATGTTAATGAGTTCAGTTGAGCATATTTGAAATTCAGGAGAATTAACTTGGGGTCTTATTTTCATAGGAGAGATCTGAACTGGAGATAGAGGAAGTGAGACTGGAAGAAGGCCAAGAACAGGCCCTGAGAGGAGAGCACTTAAGGGCCGAGTATCGGTCAAGAGAAGAGGAACCATCAGGGATATGGAGAGGTCAGAGAGCAGGGGCCCCAGCAGGGAGGGTTCCCAGGAGAGATTGTTCTCCCTCAAAAAGAGCAGGTAGAGGGCTAGGGATTTAGCTCAGTGGTTCTGCCGCCTGCCTCGAAAGGGCAAGGACCCAAGTTTGATCCCCCATACAAAAAAAAAAAAAAAAAAGCAGGTAGAATGATGATGTGAGAAAAGAGCTGAATTTGGCATGTGGGAAATGAATGCCAGCAGTTTCAGTAGTGTGGTGGGGTAAGAATCATAGAATACTCTTCTGAGAAGTGAGTAAGAAGTATGTAAAAACTAATTGATTTTTTAAAAAAAAGTTTGGCCGG